GAAAATTGTATGCAGAACTGGCTGATCTTGAAAAAAAAAAAATCTAACTTTGCTGTAATCACGCTGCCCTGGCATTAAGGAATCTCTGACTAGAGAGCGAATCATCTTCCTTTTTTTCAGTCTGCTGTTGCTGGTTTAGCCCCTGATCTGCCTGCTTGACTGACGTCATCAGAACTTGTAATTTGGGCCAATCACAATGCTTTCCCATAGAAAAAAAAAGCATTGGATTAGCTGAGACTGTCAAAGAGGCAGATCAGGGGCTGAGCCAGCACAAGCCTATCAACATCTACTCATAGAGATGCATTGAATCAATGCATCTTTATAAGGAAATTTCAGTGTCTCCATGCAGAGGGTGAATGTCAGTAGTGCCCCAGAAAGCACTTCTAGTAGACATCCGAAGACTGGCCACTGGAGGTATCCATAGGCTGTAAAAGACAGTATTTAAAACCTAGAGGGACTGATTATACTCACCAGAACAAATACAATAAGCTGTAGTTGTTCTGGTGACTATAATGTCCCTTTAAATAGTTTCAGTGATTTGAAGTGGTCATGGTGCCTGCATGTGCAGATTTTTGCCAGGAAACGTCTATATGGAATCTTTATGCTTTCTCAAGTGTATCTCTGCCTTTGGCAGTGTCATTAGTCAGCCTGGAACATGTTTTGCATATTGGATGTCTGTGCGCACAGAATGCTGGCGACAGACGTTCAATGGTGGCATGGGCTGTGCTTCGTTCAGCCCAGTGTCTAGAAGTGTCAGATGCAGGAAAAATACATAAGACTAGGTAGTCCCTAATGTGTCTTATGTTTTTATTCAAAAATAGATGAAAAATTTAAATAATTAAGACAGAGTGGGAATGAGAAATAAATGAGGAAGTAATTGGGGGGGAAAAGTAGGTACGGCATGACCGTCCCACTTTAATAAATGGGTCTTTAAAATTCCATTACAAGTAAGAGTGAGTATATATAAAATGTATTATACACACAACCCAAATGCTGCTCAGTATGAGCAGCAAATAGTAAAGTCTGTGACATTAGAATGAGTAGGTGAGGTTTGTATGTATGTATGTTTCACTGCACTTCTCAACTGTTTTGTATTACTTTTCAGAAAATAGAGATCTGCTAGTTGATATTCCAGACACTTACAATTCTATGAATATAACATATACACAGCAAATGCCACAAGATGGTGCAACTTTTGGTATGTTCAAATGTTTTGCTATGATTCTAGTTTGTAAATATGTGATTTGTATGGGTCCATGATGTCTGTTTTTAAAGTTTGGTCCAACAGTCTCAGCTAATCGATGTTGTCTAGGTTGGATGAAATTGATAATGTGGAAGTGCTTCATATCAGTGCAGCCAAGAAGAGAGTGGTCTAGGCATTGGGCAGAGTTGCTGTTTGACAACGAACAGCGAACATCTCCAAGGCACTCTTAGTAACTTAAAGGAACACTGTTGCTTTAAGAATACAAACCCCATGTTCCCCTACTTATTTAGGTGTCGTCTCCCCACCCACCCCAACGGTTTGCTTTGCTGGTATCACCATGGATGTTCTTCCTCCATGACTGAGGATATCTCCATTGGGGACTAGTGTGCATGTGCAGCAAATTGCCACGCTGCGCCTACCAAATAAACTCTAGGAGTAACAATTGATTGAGAACCAAGTTTGACTCTGTTTTCACACCGGAAGCGCCTCTAGTGTTTGTCTTGAAGACTGCCACTAGATAAGAGATTAACCCCGCAATGTAAACATTGCAATTTCTACAAAACTGCTCGGCATGCAGACATGCTTTTTTAAAATCATAAAGCATTGTAATACAAGGTATATTAGGATAGGATAGAAATAGACCTGTTGAGCCTCAAAGGACTGTTACTTTGCTGGAATTTATACTATTAATGAAAATGTCAAAAATCACCTTTAACTTAAAAAAAAAATAAAAAATTTTTTGAAAATGTATATTAAAGACTTAAATTAAATTACAACTCCGTTTGCCACAACCAAACATTGCAATGAGGAAGAGAAATAGTAAACATTGTTTCACTTCTCCCTTACTATGTACGTTTTTCCAGTGCTGACTGCCAGGTGCAAAGGACACAGCTTATAACATTGTTTGTCAAGAAACTAAGATGAGGCACACAGTTGCAGGTGGCGTGTTCTTTTAGATTTTTAATTTTATTCACACTACAAATACATATTTAAAGGGACACTCCAGGCACCAAAACAACTATATCTAAATAAACTTGTTTTGGTGCTAGAAGTCCCCTGGAGGCACTCTTACCTTGTGTGTGTAGATATTTCCTTTCATTTGCTTTGTGATATCTTTCTTAATAAAACACATTTACATAAAAAATACTAGTGTTTTCATCCTGTACAATGCCTTGCTTGGTGTCCACCAGATTATCAGTTAAAACAAGAGCGGGTTAGAACCACAGTAATTCTTTAACAAAACACTCAATGTTCTAAGCATTACACTAAAAAAAATCTGTCTCTCTTTACAGGCATTGGTAATAATGAGAATACAAGAGAATCAGGGGATTCATCTTCACAATGGACATGATGACTCAGGCCTAGAGACTCATCCAGTATCTGTAGTATTAGAGGAAGAGGACTGACCGTTTCTGCCTTTTTAAAATGGACAATGACTCCGCCAGCAGACACATTAACCTCTTGGCTTATTGAAGAGCTTGCAATGTATATGTTGAAAGACAGCCTAACAGTGAAGGGATTAAATTGTACAATAAAAATCAAAGTGCCACTAATTTCAAAGTATTCCATACCAATCATGTTTAATTAGAGTGTAGGTTAATCTACACAATGGTACATTCTACTGTACAATTCCACATATATATCTTAAATATTATTTAAGTGGTTAATTCCATTATACAATGCTAAATGTTTCTTTGCTGGGGACCATATACCTGCCTTATATCTTGGGTTTAAAAAAGTATTATGTATCATTTTGTAACTTAATGTATCATTGCCTTAATGTCTTTTAACCCTGTTACACGCTGCTTGTAGATCTGTTAATATAGTGAAACTTTTATGATAGTTTACAGACTACTTTTTTTGCTAAATTTTGATTACAAGTATACATTCTTTTGTATTTGTACAGGGTAAGCTGGTATATATATGACAATATTGCAGTCATAAAATATTAACAGAAGATGTAAGAAATCTCAGCATGGTATTAATCTGTTCTTTATATGGGATGTAAATTATTGGCCCTGATGGTTTAGTGTTTTTTTTTTTTTTTTTAATCCTTGCTGGGTGTCTGAAGCCAGCAGTGCAGGTAAACCGATATGATTGTAATACAGTTTGTAAATTGTAAGCTAAAGGTTATTTTTATATTATACACGGTTTAATTGTCAAACCTATTTTGTCCTTTTTTTCATCTAATTGTTGTGGTGCAAGTTCTTTGAAACAAATGACCTACTGGGTTCAGGTGGTTTTTGACTGTACAGGGCCAGTGACATTGCCATAAAAAGATAGTATTAAACCGCACATATGTCTTTAAATAACTCCACATGCGTTCCAGACTATCTATCATGCCTGGCTCTATATTGAGCTTTTAAATTGTATACTAAGCAAGGAACATGATAGATTTGTGTTCATTATTTTTTTGGTGGGTTTCAACCATCCTCTGGGATCCATAAAAGTATGGAATCCTATGCCATCGCCCTTTTTTTTTATTTTATTGCTCGCTGTCGGAGGTAGAGTACAACTTGTGTGACAATGAAAAGTTTCAAATTTCACTAAATTCAGTTTGGCCTATATGTTACAACTTTTCTATATTTACCCTAATTGGTTAGGTTATTTCCAAACCATTTCCAAGTTATATTAATGGCTAAGGATTTAGATTAATTCCAATTGTGTCCCTGTAGGGATATTGCTAAAACCTGAACCGTTTGGAGATGAACGTTGACTGGTTTGGGAAACTTTGTTTTAGTTATGTGTAAATGGGGGGTGGGAACTACCATAACTGCTGCCAACATTAAACTTCTGTTTAAACATTTTAATTAATATTCTGAAATTGATTATCTTTTCACTGCTGAAGAAAATTTGCATCTACAGAACTAAAGATACCGTAATCTTGAACATAAAGAACAGAAAATTGCCACCGTGTGCTAAAGATAAGTGAGTGAGAATGGTGCTAGTTCAAATTTAAATAAAATTCATTAAGGCCACCCTATTTTGTGGGTTTGGCTTTAAGTTGTAACATGAAAGTATCAAGCTCCTATTTAAAGTACAATTAAATGTTAGTCTTGCTTCTTTTACAAGTTTCCCAAGATGAAAAAGAGAATTTGCTTTATTAAAGCAACTCTGTCATCTGTTTTGCATAATAAAATTCTTTATGAAGTTATGTCCTTTCTTTTTCGATGTATCTAATTTTCTAGCTACTTTGAGTAGTTTATAAATATTTAATTTTCATGAAATACTCATACAAATGTTTTAATGGCAAAGTCCAGGTTATCTAAATCTGACTAAATGTGTAGTGTGTTGTCTGTAGAACTCTGTACAACAGTAATGTGGGCTGAAAAAAAGATGGCATCTATGATGGAGAGTATTAGTTAAGTATACTATTATTTCTACGCCCCTACTGTCATCTTAATGTAACTTGGTTATTAGTTGACTTTAGCAAATATTTTATATTTGCAACTTAAAAATAAAAAATGATTTTTAGTTGCCAATACCTTTACGTAAGGACATGCAAATGTCAAAAACATGACAGATCTGTTTAAAGATAATACTGGAGGGAGGCGATAAAGGTGCTATGTTAAACACTAAAGATTTTGTTTTGGTATACATAAGCTAAAGATACATGTGTATCAAGTTTAGATGTTATCACGTCTGTTTTTGATGTTGGTCCAAAAGGCCAGTTTGAAGTTTTTTGTATCAAATTAGGTAAACAAAAATCCCTTTTTCATCCCAGAATGAGTCAGATTTCTCCTTGGATGAAAAACTTGTCCCCCCCCCACCTATTAAAGAGTATAATCCCCGAAACATTTGTAGTAATTGAAAGTATCCATCCAGTTGTGGTTTAAACCTCTGTACAGACTCTGATAAAACCACCTCTTTAGGCAGGTCACATTCTTATTCTTACTGAAAGATTATTTCCTTTGCTATAGACTAAATCTAATTTATTCCAGTCTAAATGTTTATGAATAGATGTATAAATTTTTATGAATAGATTTACAAACAATGGCTTATATTGGCCCCGCAAATTTGTAAAATAACCTTTCTTCATAACTAAAATCTTCCTTTCCTTTTAATAATTTTGTAGCACCATAAAATCCTCCTGTAGAACAGGTACCCAAAATTGCACCTGTGGTCATGTAGCATAATCCCAAGAAAATGCATCAAACCCTCTCACGCGTATTGATAGCTTGATCATAAGACCAAGTAGTCACCACTTTGTCATACCTTTTCATTGGGATTTTAAGTCATATTGAATATTTCATAAAGAATAAACAGTATATTTATGATGTACTCAAATTATATAGTACAAAACAGCCACTATTAAACAGATGATAATAGTGTAAAGTGGGTATTGCTGAAAATTGACACTTACCCCTAAAGAATAGGGGATAATAAAGTAGAGAATAACAAACAAAATAGTGTAATACAGTAAAGACAAGTGGCAATAGTAGCTCATAATAGGAAGCACTCATGTGGTTTAGAGCCAATTTAGGACCGGCTCTAATCACATCTGCTGTTGTGTACTTTGGGTGACACACACCCTATAGGTCCATATTCAGCAATACCTCAAATGTAGATAAAAGTGGGAGAAACTAACCCTGTTGTAGAAATCCTCAGTAAATCAAGGAACAATAAAATATAGGTTGCTGCTCACCTTGTCAAGAGCCTATAACTTGGCTCTGAGTATGCAGATGAGTCTTTTTCAGGGTGACACTACCCTTCTTTTCAGCAAGATAGATATTCCACCAGATAGTATGTTTAAAATATAATTAACATTCATTTATAATCAAAAGAAAAACAACTAAATACATACAAAATACTGGTGGTGTCGCCCAAAATGCATTTTGCCGATTCAGTTTGGCTTTCTCAATTGGTAATTCTCTTCCTGCTGGTTCCAGTTTAAATATCCCAAACTATGGGGTGATAGGTGGCTGGAGATCATGATACATCCAATCACGAGTGCTCCTGCGAGGGGGAGTGTGAGGTGCCGGCTGTGAGTGATCTATCCCTTAATAGCGACGTCATCACGCACTCCTGAGAGGGATACGCGATATTCAATATCCCGGAAGTGCGTGTGATGTCACTTCCAGGATATTGAATATCATGTATCCCTCTAATAAAGTCTTCTCTACAACTTTATTATCCCCTATTCTTTAGGTGTAAGTGTCAATTTTTAGTGCTACACAATTTACACTTATCTGTGTAATAGTGGCTGTTTTGTACTAGATTGTAGTAGGATTGGGGAGTTCATAAGTATGTGTGGAAGCTGCTACCTTTGAAAGCACTTTCTCATTTAAGCACCTTATAGCACATAGCACTTTTTTTCTATTTTTCAAATTATATAGTGTCGATTTACTCATAAAAATATAGTTAGCAAGCCAACGCGAGTGAATTCATAAAGATCTACCCATAAATCAACCTAGTTCAGTGGATATGGCCCAAAAAGGAAACAAGACAACTCTATTGAATAACCTTTTATTTAGAATAAGTCAATTAAAACATGTATCTATCGTGTGTGTGTGTGTATATGTATATATAATATATATATATATGTATGTATATATTCTTCATAAGCTGAAAAGTATGTGGTGAACATTTCACCCAGACTTACAGATTTAGGTGAAAATCAATGCTGCCTGATAGTTCCTATTCCTGTATGATGTGTCCTTATGGGTAAAAGCTCAAATACATTTGTAATCTGATACTGTGTATGTGGCTATTGGGGCATTTTTCCCAATACAAGTGTGCAAAGCATCCGATGTAGTGTTAAGTCTGTGATATACAGGTGCTTGTTGGTCCAAGGTAACACAGGAACTGCGGTGTTCAATCGCTCCATATATTTATCAGGACCCAGCTAACTGTCCACCAGCCGTTTCCCCAGTGCAGTGAGAAGCACAGATCTGCTTAAAGGAACACTCCAGACCTCTAACTTGCTGAATTGCTTTAGAAGTGGTGTTTTTTTTTTTTTTTTCCCCTATTCCATTTTACAAACTCAAAATTGGCTCTTTTATAAATTGTTACACCACCTTTTGGTTTTCAGACAACTAGTCCTGTTTTGCTCTGAGAGCTAAACTCAGGGGGCAGATATTTGCAAAATAAAAAATGAATAGCAAAATAAAATGCATCTTTTCATTGGACAAAATCCCCTAAACAGAAATATTTTGTATTTGGACAGCGGAGTGTCCAAGGTCAACTGCCACAACAATTGAACTGAAAGGGACACTATAGGCATCCGGACCACTTCAGCTCATTAAAGTGGTCTGGGTGCAGTGTTACTATTGGACTTCGATTTAGAGGAACGGCACTGTTTACATTGCAGTAGTGACTGCTTCTACACCAGGAGTAGACAACGTTCTAGTAGTACTACTAGATTTGAAATCAATGTTTAGTGAATGAGCAAATGCGCAGGATTGTATGTGTATAAATATATATAAAACCAAACAGATAATACACAGACAAGGTTGTAAAAGTGTATGAGTACCAAAAGTATGGAAGTTAATACTCTGACCTATAGGTGGTATGGAACAGCAGGAAAGAAATTAGGTTATACCTGTGGGGATGCTTTATATTGACTTATTGTTTTGATTGCTGCTTTGGAATAGCAGTAAAGAAAGTCTCTTGTCATGCAGGAACTTTTACATATGAGCTTTTAATATTATGGAAGAAACATTTAAATTGTATTACATGAGCCAATCCAGGTGGTAAGAAAACTGCTAACTTAGATATTGCGTGACAGATTCACTTTTATGCAAACTTTATTTTAATGTAAATTACATTAGTCACTGAACTAATATCCCAAATACAGAATTCATTTCAAATCTATTACCATATATAATTAATTGGATCCCTGAAAACATGTGAATATTTACTGATCCAAAACATGTTACAATTAGTAATATGAACATGAAGGGAGATATCAATATTCGGCCAAGTGGCCGTTAAATGTCATAATTTTGATTCTATTTTTTAAAGTGATCTAAAAGTGCCAGTATTCTTTATAGTAAATTGTCAGTTTTCCCAGTTTAGACTACCTAATTTGTAGCAAGGGACTGGTACGTCTCCCAACCACCTACCCCCATCTAAAAAGAGCTATAGTCTCGACATTTTACCCCTGTAGACCGTGCCTCCCAGCTCAGCATCCAGTAGTCATCATAGACTTGCAGAAGACTCCAAGACACACCTGACTGGGAGCAACCTACAAACATTCTGGAACTCAAATGGATTGCAGAGTTGTTGCAATCCGGTAAAACTTTGTTGAGGGTCCTTAAGTCACCAAACAGTGTGCGGTTTGGAGGTGTTGTAAGGGAGGAGGCAAGGCATCGATCAATACCAAGGACTTGAGGAAGCTTCATGTACCAACAGAAACCGCCATCATTTTTACTGACCGGGATTTCTCACCCAGCGCTGTGGAACGCTGTGCCAGAGCGAAGTACTATCATGGCCTGGAAGAAAAAAATAAATAAATCACTTCCACGTAACTCAGGCTACACAACTCGATCCAATCGCTTTTTGGACTGAAGAGAGCTTTCAAGGGAGAGCCTTGACATTCATGTTAAGCTATGTAGAGATGTCTGGCTGCTAATTAACCCCTTCCCGACCAAGGACGTATTGAGTACGTCCGACAAAAAAGGTCCTTAAGGACCGTAGGCGTACCTGATACGTTCGCAGGGAATTAGAGCACTGGAATCGATCATGATTGCTTCCAGCAGCTCTAATGGTATAGCCCAGGAATGAGAATTATCCCCATGCTGGCATACCATTTGCAAAAGAAGACAACCCAAGGTATCGCAAATTAGGTATTTTCAGTCTTTTTAAGTAGCCACTTCATCACAAACACTGGCCAAAGTTAGCTTTCATAATGTTTTTTTGCATTTTTAACACAAAAATATAAATCCTAACTTTGGCCAGTGTTTGTAACCAAGGGGTTACTAAAAAAAAAACGTGACATACCCCATATTGAAAACCCTGAGTTGTCTACTTTTCAAAAATGTATGGTTTGATGAGGGTAAATTACATTGGCCAGCTTCAAAAATGTCCCAAATAGGACATGGGTGCATGATGACCAGCTACGAAAATTACAAGTTGGAAAACTGGAATGCGCACCTTTCAAATAAGGTCTTTTAGCCCCCCAGAGATCTAGACACCTACACATGGGTGGTATCACTGTATTCAGGAGATGTTGCTGAACACATATTGTGGTCTTTGGCACTAACCCATAAAGTTCTCAGTACATGTATTCTTACATTGCTACGTGTGTCAAAAGAATTTTTCTTTTTTTCTTTTACACATTTGGCATAGATTGGTGGTAAAATGGTTGCACGAAAAGAGTCAAAATACCTCAACTAATATCTTAGGTTGTCTTTTTAAAAAAATAAATATATAGTACATGTAAAAAGTTATTCAGGAATTCCTGACAGTTCAGTGTTACAATGTAACTTGTGTTCATTTTGAAGAAAAAAAAAAAAAGGTTTGGAAATGTCAAAGTGCTACTTGCACTTATAGTCCTATTACGTTCCAAAAAAAACTAAGAACATGTTAACATTGGGTATTTCTAAACTCAGGACAAACAATTTCTGGTCACTAAGGGGTTAAATTATCTGGTCAGTCACCTAGTCCCCACACAGCTTGTTCCCCTAAGGATATTCTGTTTAGGATTACAAAATGGCATTTTCCCAGTACAATCAGTTCTTCTCCCAGTGATATCCGTTATAATTACGGAGTTATATCACAAGGTGCAGAGCGGATATTGCAAACAACATCCCAGCTACTAACGGATAGTCTGCCACAGGGGAAATATTCGTTAAACCCTTAAAACTGGAGGGTGTACTATTACGCCCTATTCTAAGCGGCTCTAAATAAATATATCTATATACACACACACACGTATATAAATAAAAATATTAATATATATATATTATACACACACACACTAATTCTACATATATATTTATGTAATATTTTTAATTAATTACAGGGATCTGCCTGACAACCCATGCCAAAAGTATAGGGAATTTAATT